CAAGTGTTGGCTCCATCTTTCGTTCCACTCTGTTACTTTTGGCTCACTTATTCAAAAGTTTAGATTCCGCTCTATAATTATCTTATAATAAATCACTATATAATAAAGGGTGAAACCACGTGTGCTAGAAGGTATGAAACACCTCTATTGGATAACTTGTCAAGGGGCTCTGATCTTTGTTCCAACCATATCTTAGCCTCATAAGCATTCCAAAACCATTTGCACCTATCATCAATAAGAAAGCCTTTAACCTAGCTAATCCAAAAAAATAAAAGACAATTGATCTTGTAAAAAATGGAGCAATGGCTTACTTGCTTTTATATGATCTACTAATTTTAAAATAGATCAATTTGCCTGCCATACCACACTGAATACAAAAGATAATTTTGCCCCATTTTCTACCACAAGCAACACAAACCTTATACCCAAGTTATCCAATGTTTGTAACAATCTCTTTTAAATCCAAACTCACATCTATAGACATATTGTAATTGTAGGCTTCTGAAGTCTATTTGCTTGCTTTAGATACCATGATCAAGGCTTGGACTTTCTATACATAAATTTTATAGTTTTATAAGAGTGACTTAAGTAATTGCCCTATAAAACTAAAGCTCTATAAGCAAAAGAATCAATCTCTCACAATGCATCTTTCATAGTCCATATCCATTTGCATAAAAAAGACTAAAGCAAAACAAATGTTGCTAGCAAAATATTATAAATTTCAGAGTATATATTTTTCATATGTAATACTATTCATTGCCTAGCATAAGCTTCTTAGTTGGCAAAGTTTATTTGATCCATATATTATCAATAATCTCTTACTAGATCTCTAGGGTAGCATTTGAATCCACACAGCTTTTCTACCACTAATTGTGATGTTCAGGCTCTGCATATAGCAAATATTAAGTTTGGAGGAAATGCCTTTAAAACTATAAAACACATCATGATATCCTCACAACCTACATTGTCACCATTTGCAACATCTCACTATTGTCCATTCCAAGCAACTTGCATATAAGGGGCAAACTTTGCCCCAATATCCTTCCAAATCAAAGTTGTAAGATGACTATGAATGATCTGATGACTTTTACAATCAATTATATGTTCACATCCTGATAAATTACAAATTAGATATTGAGTTTGAGCTGGAGCAAGTAAACTAAAGATTATGAGTTTAGCCAAGAGTTAAAAGCATATATATGCTCGGGACTCTTTCTCCTGCCATGAAGTGCTGATATTAAGCTTAAGAACTATGTCATAGAAGCTCAACTTGAGGCAGCAAGTAGAAAACACAATGTGGTTATTCATGGAGGCAATTGGCAAAAGAAAGTGCAATAATAACATGCCCAGCTTGCTTAAGACTGGACAATATTTTAGCTAGAGCTAACAATCTTGTTTACTGTCCCACTACCAAGAAATTCCCAGTTCAAACATTGACCTTAAGCTCATATGGAGATTGACATGTACCTTTGGAATCTGATCACCAACTTTGTTTAGCACTCTTCACAAGCCAACACCTTAATGCATTTTTGTGTGGTCAAAATTTAAATTTTAATTCACAACTTTGTTTGCAAATCCATGGAGCACCATCAATCTTGCATGAATCCCCATGCCTAAATCAAGAACTTTAACCTTCAGTCCAAGCCATCGAGAATTGAGGGAGTGGCCCTATTTAGTGGGAGTGGAATTAAGATTGAGGAAGCAAAAAGTGCCATTTTGACTCTTGCCCAAATGTGCATGTCACATGTGTCAAATTTCTCACAACACAACAATCATTGGCCAAAACAAAACCTTATCAAAATATTTTAATAAGACATGGTTAAAGAAATAACTTTTTGACAAAGTACCCCTCCATCCAATGGCTGCCATTTAGATGTAATGGCCTGAAAAGTTGGGCAACTCATCTCTCTTTAGTGCCAGGTATAAGAAGTATTTATTAGTTAAACTAACTATAATTTCCACATACTAATTATTGCCAACATTTTTGGTTTGCTTAAGCATAAGGGGAGTGAGTGGATATACATAAATAATTTATAAATTTTTCTTAGTATATTCTTGTTTATTCTACCATCAAATGGAATTAATCTTTTTTTATAAATTATAAACATGTTTATAATTATAAACTTCAATTTGATTAATTATATTAATAAATACAAATTATTAAAATAAAAATTTATTATTAAAATCTATATTTCATATTGTACGAGAAACTTTTTAAAAGAAATAAGGCATTGTATGATAAAACGTCTAGAATCCTTAACAAACAATGCATCTGAAGGGTCGGCACAGAGAAACTTTTTGGAACGGAATTTCTTCACCTTAGTGATAAATGTAGGCCTTTTACCTTCTTTGACGCAATCAGCCAAAGTTTTTCTCATGCTGATGAGATAAAACCAAGGAAGAGTTCCCACAAAAACGATTCCAGGAAATACAATACCTTCCAGTGGTACATGTAGGTCATAGAGCTCATGTAGCCTTTCATTATCTTGTATTGCAGCTATGGATTCTGCCATGAGTTGAGCTTCAGGATTATCTTGAAGATGATCAGAGGTTATGTCTTCATCAGAGGTTTTGTCTTCAGTAGCTACCATGATCTTTACCATGGTCACTTCATCTTCCACACACAAATCTGAACTTACTTCCTTTTGGCCGTCTAACATCTGCAGTGGAATGGTGACCCTAGTCCTTATAGAGGAACCATTCCTGTCATAATCTAAGAACTCCAACAACCTCTTACCCACATCGATGGCACAAGACTCACGTCTCCGGTGAGCTCTATTGGCAGAGATGATGTCCTTCACAAGTAATTCTACAACACGAGACCTAAATGAGATCTCTGCACTAGATGAGCTCAAGTAAACGTCTATAAGATCCAGATCTAAAAACTCTTGAACCTGCAAAGACAGTGCATGGTGGTTCACCAAAGAATTCCTCGAAGGACCTAACTTGCGTGATCTCGAATTTAAAGAAACCCAATTCCCTGTCGACCCAAGAAGATCCCACTTCCCTGTGAGCCCGAGAAGATCCCACTTCCCTGTCAGCCCGAGAAGTTCCCACTTCCTTGCCATAGGGTTCCTTTCAGACTCTTTCCTCTTCCTCTTTGCCATAGGGTTCTTTGCCATAGGGTTCCTTTCAGGGTTGACACGTTTTATACGTGGCAAGGGCAATTTCTTTTTTAGGCACAAAATCTGCACTCCTTTTGCGGAGGTGGTGTTTCGCCTGAGTCTGTCAATCGAGGGGAACTGAACCCCCTTCAATGCTGCAGCTTTACGTCCCAGCGAGGGATTCTCAATCGAATGCCGTGTGAAATATTCTCACCTGGCACTTGCCCACTCAGGGCAACTGTAGCGCTTGTTTGGCGGAAAACCAACTCAGAAATCTCTTAGCACTCTCAGGCTGGCAAAGTTTCGTTAATGCAGAACATTTGATGTGGTTCCACAATGATAAAAGTTTTTAGAACACTCTTCACGGATGACTCCCTTTTCTATGATCATGCAAAAGTATCCAGCTTGGGATGGTGTCTTCTATAAATCTTCTCTTTTGAGTGTTTTCTAAGTACATAAACTCAGGTTTATGTGAGACCGCGACAATTTGTACCAAGCTTCTTGGTCGAGAAAAGCAGTGGAAGGCTGTGATTGATCATCCGCAGGCGTAGCAATGGATTTGAAACGAAAAGCAAGCTGGAAAGTAAAACCAAGCTTCGGAAGGGACACAAGCGATCCGGAAAGCACTATTTTGCTCATTTTTGCAGAGGGGACTTGCGTAAACAAGGAGGACATTGTGATGTTCAAGCAGGTTCTTGACTTCGTAGTTTCTCCAGGCAGTTCTTATTTCCTTGCGCTCGATTCTGCAGATTGCATTCGAACTGGATTTCACTGTCTGCCCCGTTGCTCTCAAAGTAAAACAAGATAATTGTCCACGCTAAGTCTATACTTTTCATCTCGATTGACTTTAAGCTTTTTTTTTCGTTTAGCTGAGGCTGATGACATCCTGGGTAGTCGTTTGCGATGTCTGGTATGTGGAGCCACAAACAAACGATGCACCAATAGGATTCTCGGAGAAGCATGCAAAGAGAACTCTTCTTCGACATAACTTTATATTTATATTCCTTTCAGAGTCTGCGATAGCGAAACGAGCTAAAGTTACGAAAGTCGCTTTGAAATACTAACGTCCAAGCTCGAAACTCACAGAAGAAGAATAACAACTCAACGTGGTGCCATTGGAAAATGTAAGATTCTTGCTTTGTTTTGTCGAAGTTTTGCGTGGAAAGCCTGTAGCTTACGCGTTTTTCCTCCACGGGCCAGAGAAACTCCCCTAGATCATGCTAAGAAGATTAAGAACAAAGACAAATCCATGGAATGATCGACGGGGTACTTTTTATTGCGTTTTTTTTTTGTTTCGATGAAAGAAGAAAAAATCTCCGCTCCTCTCATGTGCAATAATGGGCCGGCTTGGACCATTGAAATGGGAGATCATGAGCGCGTATTAAGAGAAGTAGCTCTCCAACTTATAGTGGTGGTGGTCACTGTTCTTCACGCGAGCTTGCGACGTTTGTGTGTTTGTTCTCGTAGCAGTGGATCGCGACACATGTGTCAAGGACCGTTTGATAATGGGGAATCGAAATGGTGACGGCCTTGTCGTGTTGTCCCATGGCCACTGTGGCCCAACCTCTTCGTACAACGCGCAAGAATGCCACCGTACGGCCTTGCTAAGCCAACTAAATAACAGGCGCTTGTAAGAAAAAAAAAAATTTTTGTTCCTGACATGACATGGACGAATCGTAGCTAGTTATTGTTTTCTTTTGTGGCCTGCAAGGTCAGTGGATGCCAGCCGGTGCTTGCCACGTGGCCGCTATGTCCACGTCATGCGGCCCGCCCGGCATTATGGCTTCCCTGGTTTGCAAGGCAATCTAGTTCGCTGGAATGTGACGCGCTAGTCCTGTCACCAAAAAGTAAGAGTCTGGGATGCATATTCCGTCTGCCAGGTGGCAAGCAGCGTCAATTCTGCCGTGTGCTAACCATGGCGGCTGGCTGCATGAGAGGGAAATCAAGCCGGCTTTGCTGAGGAGCTCTTCGTCGCCACTAGGGCTAGAGGCGACTAGAGATAGGGCGACGATCGATTCCTCCCCTTTCCACGCATAGATGGATCGATCGGGCGCTCTGGTAGGTATCACGCGGATCTGATCTAGGCTAGATCGTACATTTGCGGGGAAGGGACAGGGATTGCGATCGATCGATCGTTCTGTGACCGAAATATCGCGGCTAGAACAGGCTATTTGCAGGGTCGCAAAGAAATTCTAGCACAGGGGCAGCAAGAATGTCTGCGCCAGCGCCGAGTCCTCCAGCCGGGGGAGGAGGAGGAGCTCCACCGCCGGCTGTTCCATCGGCTCCAGCTCCAGTGCCGCCAGCCTCACCTCCTCCTCCAGTAGCTCCCGTTGTTCCTTCCTCTCCGCCTCCTACTACTGGTCCTCCAGTCGTTTTACCACAGCCTGTGGTTCCATCTCCTCCTCCTCCTCCTGTTCTTCCTGGCACACCTCCTGCTCCTCCGGCCTCTCCTCCGCCGGCTATAGTCAATCCTCCGCAAAATCCAGCTCCAGGCACTCCATCCGCGCCAACACCGCCCATTCCATCAACGCCAACGCCTCCTTCTCGAGGATCTCCTCCGAGAACACCAAGTACTGGCAATGGTGGTGGAAACCCAGCGACTAGCGATAGCGGCGGCGGCGGCGGCAATAGCCCGATTACCACTGGCGCGATTGTGGGGATTGCCGCGGCCGGGATTTTGATCTTGATCGTGCTCGCGCTGGTGGTTTGCTGCCTCCGAAGGAAGCCCAAGAGGAAGTATAGACGAGATGACCACGAGTATGGATCCGGGCAATACAAAGCTGGTAAAGTTTCTTCCTCTCTCTTTTGCTTGCGTGCTTTTCTTCATCTTTGTTTTTCAAGCTATCTCTTTTTGCATGAGTGCTTTTCTTCTTGATAATGTTCCACTCGGCTTTTGCGAGCTTTAGGGAATGCAGGCGACATGTTCTAAAAGTTTTCTTGCGTGTTCCAGAGATGTATGAAGCTGGCAGGAGACCAAGACCAGATCATTATGGCCACAAGCCTCCTCCGCCACCGCCGCCGCCGCCGCCGCCGCCGCCTCACAAGCATTACGCGTATGGCTCTCCAGTTCCGCCACCACCTCCGCCACCTCCGCCGCCACCACCGCACTATAGCAGCTCGGGAAGCCAGGATTCCTGGAGGCCAGTTCCGCCACCACCACCACCGCCCGGTATGAGCCCGGGCATGGGTAGCTCCAGGTCGTGGTTCACGTACGAGGAACTTGAGGCAGCGACTGCTGGATTCTCCAGGGCCAATCTTCTCGGCGAGGGTGGTTTTGGCTGTGTATACAAGGGATTTTTACCTGGTGGACAGGTTGTGGCTGTGAAGCAGCTTAAAGTTGGAAGCGGCCAAGGAGAGCGTGAGTTTCGAGCCGAGGTTGAGATTATCAGCAGAGTTCATCACAGGCATCTAGTGTCGCTGGTTGGATACTGCATTGCTGATGCTCAGAGGCTGCTGGTTTACGATTTCGTGCCAAATGGAACGCTGGAGCATCACCTGCACGGTACAAGTTTTTGTCCGTGTTTTTCCTTGTTCTCAGTCTCGTTTTCTCTCTTGTTTCTATCAGGTAAAGGTAGACCCGTGATGGATTGGCCAACGAGATTGAAAATAGCTTCTGGTTCTGCTCGTGGACTAGCATATCTTCATGAAGACTGTAAGATTTCTATCTCTCCGTTGGAACTTAATCTAAAAGTCATTCGTTCTTGCAGGCCATCCTCGAATCATTCATCGGGACATAAAGTCGTCTAACATTCTTTTGGATAATAATTTTGACGCTCAGGTTTGTTGTTACATATTTGCTCACTTGCTTTCAATTGTAACGCTTGTCCATTACAGGTCTCTGACTTTGGGCTTGCGAAGCTCGCTTCTGACACTTACACACATGTCACTACTCGAGTTATGGGAACCTTCGGGTAAGGACATTACCAACCAAATATATCATTTTCCCATATGAATTTTTCAAACTTCCAGATACCTTGCGCCTGAGTACGCCTCTACAGGAAAACTGACGGAGAAGTCAGACGTGTACTCCTTTGGAGTCGTCCTACTGGAACTTATAACGGGAAGGAGGCCTGTAGATACCACGCAACGTGTGGGAGACGAAAGCTTGGTCGAATGGGTGAGTCTTTGCAAAAGCTCATCCCTGGACTTTCTAAAACTTATTGCCTCTTTCAGGCACGACCATACCTCACGCAGGCTATCGAGAATGGCGACCTCGACGGCATAGTCGACGAAAGACTAGCAAACTACAACGAGAACGAGATGCTACGAATGGTCGAGGCGGCTGCAGCCTGCGTTCGACACTCAGCCAGCAAACGCCCAAGGATGGCACAGGTTTGTTTGCCTCTTTGTTTTCTCGAGCAACTACTAAACTCCTCGCATTCTTCTTTCAGGTTGTCCGCGCTCTAGAAAGCGATGGAGCAATCTCCGACCTCAACCAAGGAGTAAAGCCAGGCCACAGCTCGAACTTCACGAGCGCGGACTACGATAGCAACCAGTACGCCTCGGACATGAAAAGGTTCCGAAAGGCGGTGTTTGGAAGCCAAGAACACGGGAGCTCCGAGCACAGTGGCCCGCCGACGAGCGAGTATGGGATGAATCCCTCGGTGTCGAGCAGCGAAGGGATGAGCAGCATGGAGATGGAGAGGCGGCGGGCCGGGTTGCTCAGGAGCTCGGACACGACGAGCTCCAGCGAGATTAATGCCAACACCAACACCAATGATCGTCTCAATGGCCGGTAAAGTTTCGAAAGGAAAGATCACAGGGAAGAAGAAAAGATTTTTCTACAAGAACTTTTTGATCATACGACGTTGTCTCGTTTGTACAATATATTTTATCGACCTTGGAGAATTTTTAGGGTTCTTGGGAATGGCTGTTTGGCTTCCTGTTCCTCCGCGATGGCCGGGCTTGCGCGCCTCGGTTCTTTGCAAGGCCGGGGAGAAGAAAGCGCCCGCGCGGCTCGTCCAGAAGCAGCAGATGATCTCCAGCCGGGAGGAGGCGGCGGCCGAGGCGGATTATGGCAATCAGCCCATCCCTCGGCTCTCGATCGGTGAGATTCTTGGATCTGGGAAGGGATTTCGGCTGAGGTTTTCGTTCTAGATCATGTGACTGTGAGCTTTGCGAGGAGTGGAGGTGCTGGCGGCCAAAATGTGAACAAAGGTGTGATTTTTTCGGTGTTTGGGACTTTGGTGATTGGAATCTCTTCTTTGACAGTGAACACGAAAGTGGACATGCGATTCAATGTGATGAACGCACACTGGCTTCCTCTCCAAGTGAGGAACAAGCTGCTTCAAACGGTTTGTCACGATCTTTGAAATGTGAGGCTGTCTAGTAGTTTGGAATGAGTTTTTCTATACTAATTCCATTCCGTTTCGTGAACAGGAGAAGAACCGGATCAACAGCGACGGTGAATTGGTCATTTCTTCGACAAGAACAAGGACACAAAAGTAAACGGAATGTCACAAGAGAGAAAATACTCACCTTTTCTTCTTCAATTTCTTGCCAGGGGAAACATCGATGATGCTCTAGCTAAATTGCAGGCAGGTTTTCATCGCGCTTTGTTTCTTCGGTAGCTAACGTTTGTTTCTTCTCTTTGTTTACCAGGAATTAGTTGATGCTGCAGCTTATGTGCCACCGCCTCCATCTCAGGAGACCAAGCAACGAATTGCAAGGCTGTGAGTTATCTTATTTCTTGCGAGTCTTTCCCAGAGTTTAAACTTGGAGTTTTAGTGCTGCTGCCGAAGACATGAAGAGACTCCAGTCCAAGAAACTGTCTGCTCTCAAGAAATCGGCGAGGAGAGACAAAGGAAGCTGGGACTGATACGAGGTAAATTTACAAGTTGTATTTCGCATGAAGCCTAACCGAAGCTCTCCTAGTCAACTCGGAACTTCATCTTGCTCGGAGGAGTCATCGATAAAATGACGATTTACAAGCTGAGAGACCTTGGAATGTGAACAGTGGCTCTTCTTAAACAACTCTCGCAGCTTGTCATCACATATGACATTGTGGTTACCTGGTTCCTGGATCGAGAAAACGCAAACGCAACTTTTAGAGCTCTAAAACTCCCGAGAAGAAACTTGCTTTTACCTGGAGATCCTTGTCAAGGATGTACTCCCACACTCTGTCCACCGCCTCGGCTCGAGACATCGTCGTTCTATCAGTGCCGAGGAAGGATTGGAGAGCCTCGGAGATTGGATATGGAGTGAGGAAATTGGAACGCCTTGGACGATCATCAGATCGATCGAGTTTCTTCTTCTTGGGCATGTCAATGTCCTCGTAGCCTACAAGCAAGCACACGCTAAGATCAAAGAAACAAAACAATCAAGAGAAACTCACCCTCTTCTAGCGGTAGCAAGTGATCTTGGAGAACTTTGTTAATGGTAAACATGTTGATCGAATCCACCTTGAAAATGTCGACGAGCTTGTTTCCGGCGCACAGGATCATCTTCCTGTCGCTTGGATCTTGGAGATTGTTCTCTCGGATGTAGCGCCACAAGCATTGCACAGCCTAATCCTCGAAAAGAAGAACAAGGAAAAGAATTTCTAGCTTTCATTCAACTAGAGCTTACTTCGTGTCTCCTGAGAATGTGATGCCCAGTGACCGCTCGAAGCTCCGGAGAGAGGCGAAAGGCCTTGAGGAAGCTATTGTTTCCAGGCGTCCCAGCTCTATCCGTCCCAGCAAGAGATCAATCGCAAGGAATGCCAAACGAGGAGGAAGAACTTACTGGCTCCTGCGATTGCTCTGGAGGGTGTCCTGGATCTTCTCATCTAGCGCCCGCTTGCTCTCGTCCAGCCGGATCTTCTTCTTGAAATACAGCTTGGCGAGCCGCGCTACTTCCTTGGGCTTGACCTTCCCGGCGCCAAATTCCTTCTCCAGAGCCTTGCGGATGGCCTTGGTCGTCACAAAGGCCGGATCGCCGCCGAAAATCGCAGCTTTCACGCGCCTGCGCAGCTGTGAGTTGGTTGGAACATCCTTGCTCAAGGGAGGACGACCCATGAAAGCCCTAAACCCAAGAGAATATTCAGAAGCAAGATCAGAATATACTCCACAAAAGAATATTCAAACTAATAACAGAATATCCTACTAACCCCAAAAAGTTTTCACTTCAACAAAGGTAAAACATAAAAAACGTAAAATGTTTTTCGTTTTTTCCAATCCTTTTTTGATTTTTTTTTATAAGAAGTGTTTTTCCTTTTTCTTTTTTAACTTTTTGGTGTGGCTGCTTATAAAATTAAGCGCCACAAACGCTTTTTTTTCGTATCAGATTTTTCTCTTTTCGTAACGTATCACCACCACGGGGAAATAATCGCGCGGAGGGCCTATTGCGAGCTAAATAGGAGGTAGTATACACTCTGCTTCTACATCTAGCTGCAGAAACAAGGAAAGAAAAAGGATCAAGAAAAAAAACAAAAAAAAAAACCACCAAGAATAAGTTAATAGCAAACGAGCAAGCAACTCAACTGACTCTTTTTCAGCAAGCCAGCGTTGCCGTCTCCCATGGCTTTGGCGTCGGGGCCTGCGATCGTTGCCATGGAGAGGGAGAAGCTTTGAGCTGCTGCTGCTCGTCTCGCTTCGCAGTCGCGGCGGTGGCGGTGGCGATGGTGGAGGATCCGTGACTGCTCGGCTTCGCCTTTTTCACAGAAGAAGGCGTCGGCGGCCTGCGCTTGAGCGAATCCACTCTCTCGAGCTTTCGCTTTGCCGGCTGCTGGTGCTGCTGCGGCTGCTGGTGCTGCTTCTTTCTGTCCAGCTTCGATCTCATCTCGGTGCACGCCTCGTGCGAGATCGGCAGCTCCGCCGGCGCGCAAGCCAGAGGCTCCGTCCACAGGTAGTCCGACAGCAGCGCCTGCTCGGCCGTGATCCGCTTCTCGGGGTTGAGCGTCAGCATCTGCTCGAGCAGATCCAGCGCTCTCGGGTCCACGTTGTTGAACGCCTTGCGCAGCCGCCGCGGCTTCTTCCCGTTCTCGGCCACGAACTTCGCGTAAACCGGCGACTTGGACACCCCCGGCCAGCTCGTCTCGTCCGGAGTGCCGCACATCTTGAAGATCCAGGACAGCTGCTGCTTCTCGTCCTTGCCCGGGAGGATCGACTGGCAGACGAGCAGCTCCGCGAAGACGCAGCCCAGCGACCACATATCCACGGCGGGGCCGTAGGACGAGAACCCAAGGAGGAGCTCCGGCGGCCGGTTCCAAAGCGTCACTACTCCACAGTGGAGCGGCCGGGGCGTCTCGGGGATGGGCGTGGACATGCCAAAGTCGGCGAGCTTGAGCACCCCTTTGCCGCTCACCAGGAGATTGGCCGACTTGATGTCCCTGTGCATCACTCCATTGAGATGGCAGTAGTGGAGGCCCTCGAGGATCTGCTTGAGGTAGCACTTGATCTCCGGGGCCGAGAACTTATGCCGGTGGATGAGCCCACAAAGGTCGTGCTTCATATACTCGAAGACAAGGAAGATGTCGGTGGCCGCGTAGATCACATCCAGGAGCTTGACAACGTGATCGTTGTTGAGCAGCCGGAGGACCTTGATCTCGATGGCAATCGACGCCGGCACATCGCGCAGCTCGCCGCCGGCCTCTCTGACCTTTAGCGTCGCCTCTTTGGGGTCGACCCTTAGCCGCTTGATTGCCACGCGCTCGCTGGTCTGCTTGTCCGTGGCCAGGAACACCTTGCCATACTTCCCGCGGCCGATCGATTCCACTGCCACATACCTCTCAAGCGCTGGGAACTCCTGTGACAAGATTTCGCCCCCTTCGCTCACTCCCATAGCCTATCCACAAACCCTAAAGGAATGAGCCTTATAAACCCTAATAGCCAGCCGTGGATCTCTTTTCGTCCCAGCCGTTGGATCCCAGATCTTTGTAGGAGAGCGGTTTTCACCTTTTAGGGCTCGAAATGTTGCCCGCGATGGAGGAAGATGACGAGAGCTCCGATTCCAGCTTCTCGACCGTGTCATCGTCGGCGCCGCTGACAAGGAATGCAAGCGGCATTGGCTGCTCCTCGATCTTTACCAGGATTCGAGGAGGTCGAGGTAGGCAGCATCGCCAGCATCATCGCGCCAGGGGCGGCGGCGATCGAGCTGGTGCTGTCAGGATCGGATCGAGCCCTTACAAATTGCAGGAGAGGATTCTGTCCAGGCAGAAGGGAGACGCGAGGAATCGATCGGGGCTGGGCCAATTGCTCTCGCCGGATCGTCTCAACGTGTCTGTTGCTCGCAATATTTTTCCTGGCGACAATGTGGTGGATGTACAGAAGGAACAGGCCAGCTCCTTTCGGCGAGATAGAATGTCGCAGAAACTTTGCGAAGCGTCGGGAACCAAGATCGAGCAGCCCCACAAATCTGGAACTCTATCATCAGCCATCGCGGAAATCTTTCGCTGTTTCATCTGCTTGGGAAAGGTAGTAGTCTTTCTCGTTCCATATAGAGTCTCACTGACCGTTCTTTGTTTTGTTTCTTCATTCCAGCTTATGGATGCTCAACTTTGTCCATGCTGCTCTAAGCTGGTGTGCATGCTATGTATCAAAGTACGCCTTGCAGCCTGAATCATTTCCAAGGTCATTTGATAAACTCAAGCTCTTCTCACTTCTTTTTCTCATCTGTGTCGTCGGCCTGGTTGCAGCGCTGGTTAACCGATCAGAAGCCCGAGTGCCCTCACTGCCGTGCCTCGCTCTCGGTCTCGCAACTTGTAGGCTGCAAATTCATTTCCGAGATTACGACGGTACGTGAGTTTGCGAGTTCCGACTGACTTCTCATTCATTTTGCTTTCGCAGGAAGTGGAGAAAATACACGGGAATTTTGACGAGGATGCTCCACCAGAGAAGGTAGAAGGCTACATTTTCGTGTGCTCGCACCGACCTTTTCTATTGCAGATTTGCCCAGCTCATGGCAGTCCACTTTCGTATTTCTGCACCACATGCTCGACTGCAGTGTGCTCCGACTGCGCCATCCTGGCCGAGGTCATACTCGCTCTTTCTTTTTTCACTTATCTTACTCTGGTTTCTATAGAGCCACCAAAACCACTCGTTTGAACGCCTAAATGTGACCTATGGAAGGCATTCCAAAAAATTGCATGTCGAGGCATCAGCTCTACGTTCACGTCTTAAAGTAAGGATTATTACGACTGTTAGGTGTAATGCTAAGTCTTCTCTTTTGCTCAGGATTTGTATGATATGCTGGCGTCGGTTGACAATGACATTGAAGCTGTCTTGAAGGTATATCATATGTTTGCGTGTGTGACTTATGTCCTTAAGAACAGGCCAAAGATGATCAAGCGACTGAGATTGAAGCGGCTTTCAAAAGAATGCGGGTGAGAACTGCTTTCTTTTTGCAAGAACAGGAATTGCTATCGTTTTACTGATGTGATATGCAGGCGAAGCTCGAAGAACAGCTCAAATGCAAGCTGCTGACACTATTGGCACAGAAGGGTGCTGTTTCTCAAGAGGTATGAGATTTTATTTATGCTACGGCTCAGCCTGATTTGCTGGCCTCTGCAGGTGGAGTTGTTAGAGACCATTTTGCGTCAACTTGATTTTCAATTAACTACATCGTCCAAGAGCGATCTCATCGCTCATGAACCGACAATTACATGTATTATACAGGTGATACTGGTTCTTGTTGTGTAGCGCACGATCTCATTCGATAAGTTTCCAGGACTTGCACAAGAAAATCAATCTTGAATTAAGGCGGGACCCTGTTTCTTCAGATTTTGTTTCCGAGGTATCCCACACGAGCTAACTTTATGCATATACAATTTTTGTGGTAGGTTATTCCTCCGTTTGAGCACGGGGAGCTTGTTCTTAAGAACTTCAGAAAGTATTTGCATGCGAAACCAAGCAAGAGCAACGATTCTTCTAGTACAACTGACTCCACAAGCGACATCGTTTACAGTGCGGTGGGTACCTTAGATGCAGTGGACATAACAAGGAGGTGAAATAATGGCATCTTGTTTGAAACTTGTCACTGCTAACTAAAACTTCTTCGTTACTGTAGCCGATTTCTGCCGCCGGGATTACCTGGCGCCTAAAGGTACTTGAACTGTTCGTGCGGTTGCAGTCACGATCCTGACTTGATCGTGCAGCTGTATCCAAATGGTAGTGGTTCATCGAAGGGAAGCCACATTTCTGCATTTCTTGAGGTCGGCCTCTTCATTCAATGTACCTGAGAAAAACTAACGCTAGTCACGTCTAGATGGTCAAAGGTGGCTCTGAGCCTACAACATATGAATATGGCATAGAGATGTTACATCGTTCGCAGCCGCACATGAAAGTTGTGAGGCGATTCTCTTCGGATTTTGAGGCAATCGATATCTCCAGATCATTTGATTGTAACTTACAAGGGCCACATTACAGGAAGGTGCATGCTGGGGGTACTATCAATTTTTCAAGATTGATGACCTTGAAAACGAAGGGTACCTTCTTCCGGGGGAAGATACACTTACGCTGAGCTTTTACGTCCGAGCTCAAACGTCAGTAATCCAATCCATTGATTGATGACTGTGACACTTGATGAATTTGACGCCGTGCTTTCGATTCAGGTTCTTGCAACAATGCCTGGATCTGAGAAGAGCACTGTCATCGTGTCAAGCAGAACGGCAGGAAGCGGTGACGCAGGTAAAGCACGAGCGCCGTCCTTCTCTTAGTTCCGAGTTCTTACACTCAGC